CCATGAGCACATACGCACGCGGGCGCACTCGGGCGTGTTCCATAAAACGGAAAACGGTTCATATCGGAATTACATGCGCAGGTGTGCCACGCGAACTTTTTCGGACGAAGTCAAACAAATTTGATATACCCAAACTGGAGAGAGGAAAATGTCCCGCGTTATAGAGGTAATCTAATAAGAGAGATGTCTCTGAGTATCCACGATCCTTTCGGCACTCGGAAAATTTCTTGAAAATACTCGGGAAGTCACGGAACAAAAATGCGCGTCGTACGAAACGTCACGCCAACTTCTCCTCGTCGTCGGCGACGAACGGATATATTCGTGAAATCAGAAAAATGCGAATAGATTATTCTTCCTGCTTTCCCTCGGCGAAAATACCTAGGCGTCATTTATCTGCCGTTGCTTGGCCGCGTATTCGGGCACCTATGACATTTTTTTTCAAGCAGAGATAGAGTTTAATGGCGGGAATTAAACGTGTTTGTTTTTGGAGGGTACGAGCGAGCCCATGTGAGTTCGTATTCACGCACATAATAATGAGAAATCGACGCTGCGATATCGTTGATTAATCGTCGACGCTCGATCGCTTCAACGACGTTCTACGATACCTTCCTTTTTTATCATGCGCATAAATTCTCGTAAACTTATCAGGAACGTAATTGCGAAAACCACGGTGATTTATTAGAGCGCTTTCGGAAAGCAGCGCAAGCGATATGCAGAATTCTACGATAGAGTTATGCGAGAGGACTTTCAACGCGCGCGGCGCGAAGATGAATGTGAATTCCATATCCCGTTTAAGCTGTCAATTAAAAGTGCTAGAAATTCGCGGCTATTGTCGAACTATTCTTCCTCGTAATTACTTTCATTAAGGTAACCGACTCCAGTTGTCGGCGAGGATTACGATCGGTGATGAAGCGAAAATCATTATTTCGCGCAAGAGGAAGCTCGAAGTGTGTGCGATCGACTGTGATACATTCGTTCCTCGATAACCGCGTCGTTTTGCCAGTGACATATCGTCATGCTCAAGTGGACACATACTGGTCGCAGGTTTGCGATTCACGTTGTTTTACGAAAAGAGTAAGAGTGTTAGAACCAAAGCTGATCTAGTTCACGCGACTCTTTTCTCAATGCACGAAAAATTTATTTTCGCCTTGCGATCGATGCTTTCCTTCATATAGTCTATAATTATATGGTCATCTTTGTGTAAATATATATGTTTATATCGATATATCTTTATTTTATATATAATATCTCAATCTCATGTAAACTGAAGGATGTATTCCTCCCGTAAATAAGGATTATTATAATAATTATCGCGAATTATTTATAAATCACGGTTGCCACTGAATCGTCGGTCTGATATTTACGCGCTACTAAAATGGATATTGTAAAATTAGCGAGACGTAACAAATGCATTACACGATGAAAGCGTCCTTCACTCAAAAGCCCGGTGTTCTTCTAATTAATTAATCTCTTTTTTCGGGACACTCATAAACGGATGAAAGTAATATAGTTCTTGACACGCCCGTTCTGTAAAACTGTGTCACGCGAATGCCGTCGTAAAAGCGTACATTATTGTACATTATTGACAAGGGCCATCGGCCGCATAACCTTGGCTAAGTGCCAATACGGGGGAGCTATTAAAACAGCTATTAAAAATATAAATTACAATTTCTTGCATACAAGCGAGAGAAAATGAATAACATTGACATCGACTAATTGACATCGGGTCGGAAGGTATATTAGCTTTGTTTCCGCCGTAACAAACAATTTAACGAAGCGTAAGCGCATTTATATGAGCCGACGTTAAAAGGATTCGTCGCGAGTGCATCGGTCAGGACTCGCGAACGCGAGACAGATACTAACGACGTTTATTTCGCGAGAGTATTATCCGATTAAACTCTCTCGCCCTTTCCAAGCTCGAGCAATGGCAAGTCGTAACGACGTAGCGGCGCAAGCGGCTTCCGATTCTTCGCGGAACAAGCGCGATATCCTACCATCGCCAATTACAAGGGCTCCTAATGAAATGTAATTTAAATTGGCGGAAGGGAGAGGAGAAGAAGGGGGAGGAGGGTAAGAATCCCGGGCGACGAAAGTGTCGATGTCGATCGGCGAAACGTGACGGCGCTTTAACGAGGATTCAATTTTGTCAGTGTCGGTCGACGGGCGACACGGAAGGGGGTGTCGCGGAAACTTTTTCGGAAGTTTTCCTTCGGACTCTCCGGCTTTTATTACCGCGTCCAGGGAAACTTTCTCTCTCGCGCGCGCGGTTTCGGCGACGAAACTTTCATCCGCGGGCGCATAACCGCCGTAATTCTCCCCTCGCTCGGCGATGTCCTCTGCTGCGGCGGAGGCTGCACGGAATTTGATCAACCGCGGATATCGCGGAGCTCCGGCACTCGAATTTCATTCGCTTCGTCGAACTTGCCGCTAAAGTTCGTTGCGCGAATCTCCGTTAAGAGACAGGTGTCTGTCGCGACGTCTCTCCAATTTGGACGCTCTTAACTGAAGAAGCACCGTGGCTCGTGCACTCCGACACGCGAACGACCCTCCGGGCAAAAATGCAAATTTCTCTTCCGGCGATCCGTATCGCGCGTGATTGCGAGCCTGTCGTCGCGCGACGAGTCGCGCCTGTTTGGCAGCAGCTTTTTCCAAGTTCCCCGGGATTCCGGGAACGTCGAAGCGAGGAGGTAACCAAGTGTCTGAGAAAGCCGCCTCGACAGCCGCTGTTTGCCCTCGGCTTGTTCTTCAGGTGCTTGCCTTTAGTTATAAGCTCCGAAGTGCTGGAGTTGCTTTTTCTTTTTCACGGCACGTCTCTTATTAACGGTTTTAGTTACGTAAAGAAGCGCACACGGAAACAACGATACCTTTGAAGCACTCTCTCTCTCTCTCTTTCTCTCCGTAGAAATCGCTCCGTATAAGCTTGGCTCATGTAATTATATGCCCGGAAAAGACAACAACAAGCTTTTGTTTCAGGAAAGTTTTAATTATACAAATCTTGGAATTTTCCAATGCTACAAAATGTGAACACGCTCTACGATCATTACATCTTCCGACTGATATTTTTCATAATTAAAAGATTTTTGAAAGCGCGAAAAGCTCCAGACTTTCGCAACTGCGGGCTAAAGGAATGAACATCGGCCCGTCTTCCTCCGAGACACGGAAGTTATACTCGCTCGTATCGCGCGTCGCGTGAACTTTATCGCCCGTTTTAACGTTCCGACGTCCGCAATGAGCATCGCCGACTAACTTATGGCAAAAGAGCTCTTGATAGTCACGCGTTATTCTCGCGCGGGATTAAAGCTCTTCTTACGCGTTGGAACCACCGCAATATCGCGAACGGCCAGGGGCAATTCGACCTTCCGCAGTAATTTCGCTAGCAGAACGGTTATTGCCGAAATTGTCGCTCGACGTGCGGGTAAAATGTTGAAAAAGTGATGTCTGTGCATTTTTTTTTCAACCGTCATATCTCTCTCCGCCAAGTGACACAAGTTGCTCTCTCGTTTGAATGATGGATGCGTGGGCATTATTATATTCCTTTTTTCCTTTCTTTCTTTTTTCCTTTTTCGAGGGAAGCGGTTAATCACTCGTCAACGTCTCGCCAAGTTTCGCGATAATGAGGCGCGCCTCCCTGCGCACGTATGATGAACTTCATCCTGCGCGTTATCGCGAGATAGACATAGTTGAGCGATAACTACGAGTACAGGGTAACCGAGCGCGGAACTTTGAATATGACAAGGTGCACGCTCTTGGCAAGCTCGCCGCTAACAGCTGAGCTTTCCTCATCATTCGAAACACACACCACTTTTTTATCGTGCGCGCGTTTTAAGCACGAAAAATTTATTTAGGATTAATCTAAGCTTTAGCTAAGCGTCCTGCGAATCAAATATGCGTGCGCATTCCTTTTGCATATTATTAATATTTGTGCAAACCTTTCAAGTTGACAAATTTCAATATTAAAGTGCTACGGATCTCTGCTCTGTCATCAAAATATCGGATACTTTAGCTTGGAAGTTCACATGCCGTGTGTAATAGCGTCTGACGCGAGTAGATTAAATATTAACGTAGCTTTACTTTGAGGGCAATTCGCCTGTCTTTTAACTCCATGTTTATCGGTTAACAGCAGTCGACGCGGGAAAAACGATCTAATTTCTGACTCTTGTAACTGTCTTCTATCGAAATAATATATAAAATAATGATTTATTATACGATATTATTATATACAGGATATCCGATAATTTCTTCAGCATCCACAGTGTGCAGGTGAAACGGGTGAAGCTGAGTAGAAAAAATGAAGAATTAATTAATCTTTATGAACTAATGAGTGCGTGGAAAGCAGCAGACCAAATTCTGTATAAAGAAAAATAGCTTACTTCTAAAGATCTCGTAGCAACGATGAACGTCAACTGATTTCTGATTTCTAGAAGCGGAGTAACGAGCTACATGTGACAGAGCTGCGCGTCGAAAAGAAACACGCCTATCGCTCTTAGTTGATACCCATTGTTGCTAAGAAATCTTCAGAAGTAAGCCATTTTCCTTTATACAGAGTCTGGCCTGTTTCCCGTGCGACCATTAGTTCATACAGATTAATTAATTCCTCATTAACTATTGTGATTTTTATAAAATGGCGCATAATTTTCCCGTTCCGTTTAATTCGTTCTACTTGCACACCATAGATTCCGAGATAATTATTCGATATATTTCCTCGAAATAATATTATTTTTCTATCAAACAGCATGGTTTGCTTTAATGGAATAACAACACTTTCAATCAAACAAAATGATGTTTGGCATTAAATTATTGTTGTTTACATTAAATAAACCTAAGTCAAACAAATACGTATACGAAATCCAAAGGAATCTTTTTCTCCGTGTGCATACATGTGAAACTTTATGACGTTATATTTCACATACATACCGATTGAATTTATCGGCGGAGAAAGAAAGAGAGGGAAAGAAAGAAGGGAGGATAAAAAAGAGAGACGCATTTCGATGTGATTGCAGACGAGACAGAGCAGCGGTGCGGTGGGAAACGGCGAGGGGAAGGATGCCGGCGATTGTTCCCCACGAGCGTCGACGCCGACGTCGATGACGGTGACTACGACGACGCCGATGACCTCGACGGCATCGCCGACACCGACTGTTCCTACGGGGTCGACGGACCTGCAACACCGACGACGACGGCAACAGCAGCAGCAGTTGTCTTTGATGCAGACGGCGGACTCGACGACCGTCGCCTCCTCGTCGTCCACCTGCGACGAGTCCAGCAGACTCTCCGCGAATGTCCTCTTCTCCCTGCCTACCTCGCCCAAACGCTCGTCGGCAAGCCATTTCTCGTCCAGCAAGGCGCCCGCTATATCGAAGTCGCAGATGAAGGGTGAGTCGAACTTCAAGTGTTCCATTTACTAATTACTTTTCGCGATCTTTTTATTCTTCGCGCTCTGCGCAACCTGTGTTTCTTCTATGTTTCTTTATTCGCGCGCGCAATTTAGCTCTAATTGTTATCGGGGTACCGGAGGGAGGTGGTACTATAATTATTCATTATGAAATCTCGAAGAGTTGATTAGGATAAAATATTTTTTCCCTTGCAAATCAGCGCAAAGACAGAAAACATCTTCGTATTTATCGTTACCGCGAGATTAGTCTTTCGTGATTTAAATTTACACTTATAAATATACTTCTGCTGCTGTCGCGGCGTCGAACTTTAGATGATGGAGATATAGCAATGGATTAAATTTAGCACACTGGAGAAACGATATCTCGCCTGTTTGATGTCAACACTTCGTTAATCCTGATAGAACTGCACTCACGTGTCGGACAGCCTCGTGCCGGCGTTGTGATCTCATTCAGTTTGCAGGCCATTATTTTCTTTTTTTTCTCTTCTCCGTCGTTATCACTTTTAGCGAGGTGTACACATTCGAGGATCGAGAATCGGGCCGATTGATCGATTAGAGATCTGCCGGGAGTACGCCGAGAAAAATTATTATCCGTTGCGTATATAGCAGACACGTCCAACGTGTTTCTCGCGTGTTGTCCGTCGCGCGTGCAATTTGTTTTCTTTCTGCTTTTATGATTCCTCCGCTATCGGATATTATTCCACTCACATCAAGGTGGACGAATGGTGATTTCCAATCGACGTCAAGCAGTAAATCGTGCCGTGACGCTCGTAATATCGTTTCACATTTCGTACTTTCCTTTCATGGTGCTTCCTCTTCGCGTTTAATCGCGTCGCTGGAGCGAATTTTCTTTCGCGGCTTCGAAATTAATTTCAAAAAGAACTTCACCCACTCGGATTTTGTCTCTGCAAATTCAACGGTAGCTCGCCGATAAGCCGATATAACTCGAACAAACCATCCCAGGGATAATTTTCAGCCTGATGTAGTTACGATTATATATTCTCGAACGAAGTTTCTCTCTCGAGGCTGTAACGCTATTAACGGAAAGAGCTTATCGATTTCTTTAATACATGATTAAATAGGCGTTTATTAATTATGCCTTAAATATGTTTTAGTCTTTGCCGAACTTGTCTAATTGCAAATAAACTGTTTATTAAACTTTCCTCTAATTACGCAACTTTACGTGCCGCGAGATTTCTTCGCAGCACGATCCGACGATTCGTGCAGCAGCGAAATTCGCACTATGTTCGCGGCTAAGTTCTTAAACGTTTCTTACGAGGAACTGCCTTCTCATCTATCGGCCTTTTAAGATCTCGCGCGCTAGAGGTATTTAAGAACCAAGTCACATGTCTCCGTGTATCCAACGAACACGTACGATACTACTTGGACAAACGTAATTTCTCCCGGCAAGTTGTTACGTCTTTATCGTCGTTCGTAAAAGAGCCGTGCTGCTTAGAACAGTCACGTGTAAAGCTATTGTCTCCGTCGTTGTCGACTTCGCCGATTGACGCAATTGATGGAACCATAAAGCGGAAAGAGAGACGCGCGTGCACACATAGCCGCCACTAATTCCTATCGTAAAATGAGTTTTCCAAGAGTTACACGAGTATAATAAAAAATTTGGTCCGAAAGCTTTTCTTCCTTCGCGTGTTTCAACTTGCCCGGGGTTTCTCAAAATTGGAAAGTAAAAATTCTCGATTCCTCTGTTCTATCGTGCGTCTCGTGCCCGAAGTTTCCAGAAAGCGTTCTGCGCGATTGTTAAATCGCGATCACATTCGGTATTGAAGTAACGATGACGGGCTCTGATCCAATTTATGGGCGAAGCGGAGCGATAACGCAGCTTTAAGACGCGATAATCACCGATCTCGCCCGGCTACTCGTAGCTTCTATGAACGAGCAATAGTGCGCGGATACGCACGCGTACAATGCGCTGCCGGAACGTCGGGATTCAACGGCGCGGGAAACGAGGCTATTAAACGATCGAGTCAAGCACCGTCGAGCCGAACGTTACGGCTTGTATTCGCCGCTCGTCAAATCCTCTCGGGGATAACGATCGCCTTTAGTCTGTTAATCGACGTGAGTGGCTGAAAGCCCGATACATGCCGAATTCTTACCGAATTATTGAACTCTCAAATATTTTATAGAAATAACGTCGAGGAACGTCAGAAAAATTCGATAAATGAAAGCGACGCCGTGCTTCATCCGCGAATTTTCTCGGGGAATTCGGGGAAGTCGGAGACGGTCTTGGTTATTTCCGCAAGAAAGAAAACAAAAACGGCATCTCGGACTGACTCTCACGGTATTCCTTTCCCGTAGAATTCCGAGAGGCCTTCAGGCTGTTTGACAAGGACGGCGACGGGACTATCACGAAGGAAGAACTCGGCAGGGTGATGCGTTCCTTGGGACAATTCGCGAGGGCGGAGGAGTTGAGGACAATGCTGCAGGAGATCGACATCGACGGTGAGTGTCCACGCTCCATTATCTATCTTAAACACCGATATCGTCACACGTTGTTTGCAAATGTTTGCGCGATGGGATGACTTTAAAATCTCTAACGAACGCTATAATAACGCCGAATCACATCGTCGTTTCCGTCACCTCGCGATTCAACTAGAATACCTATAATAAGAGTACAGATATTACATGTCTGATTTTTGATTGACTCCGTTATATTTGGGCCGGTTTCCGATTGGGATGGGGTCAAAGGTTGTTTTGCTTTCCAGCAAAAGGCAAAAATCGACACAAGTGTTATTATATCATTTGTTATCCTTTTATTACTAAATGTGAAATAAACATATGATGACAATAAATGATGATATAACTAGACTTGCCTCGTGACGAGATTCGACTCGTGTCTCTTCTTGGAAAGCAACCAAAGTTATCAGCTGAATGGCAACGCAAGCAAAAATTTATCATTTGCGAAGTCCATGAAATGTGTTAAAAGAAAAAATTGTGCGTTTCATATTGTGAATAATTAATTTTGATTTGCATCTACTTTGATAGTGCTCGAACATTTCGCGTATCATGGCTGTGAACTTCCGGTTTTAACCCAAACACGGCGTTGGTGTCTACACTTTTATTATAGGTACTTTAGATGTGGCACGGCACGATAGCGCGTCGGTGCCAGAATTAAGAAATAATCTCAAGCAAACGATATCCGTATCCCGCACCAAATCTTGCGCAAGCAACGAAGCGAATCAGTAAAGCAGCATTCGTTCGACATCGCGAAAAGTTTACCGTCCCCGTTCACGACTTCGACGGTCGTCCACTTGCAACCTTTCGCCCGGCGGTATCGCCTTAATTGCGGCTAATTTTCACGGAGTGTTCCGACAATGGCAGGGTTCTTTCCCGGAAGAAACCACCCTGCCTCGCCTCTCCCCTATATTGTATTATACATAGGTCATTTGGTCGACGAGGGACCTAATATCCGATTCCTCTCTTCCAGCTGAATTCAAGGATTCTCTTTCGCCCACTCCTTTAACCTCCTTCCGTGCCCTATTTTTTTTACGTTGTTGTATCCGGTTCCGTACCGTTCCGTGGCGTCCCGCGGCGTTTCGATGTGTTCTCAGGCTTCAGACGTAAAGTGAGACGAGAGCTCCCGACGGTGTTTGCACGCGGCTGCGATGTTTCATTGTTTGACGGAAAAGCTCGCGCGCGATCCTGAAACCCCGTATCGATACCTCTCCTCGCGAGCGATTCCTCCCTGGGAATACCTCACGCCATACCACGTGTACGTGAACGAATCGCAGTTTCTAAAACTTTCGCTTGGCCAATGCAATAATTTGATTTTAGTTGAGTTAGTTCGGTATTTTCCCCTTTATCTCGATCGCGCGATTTACCTATGACGCTTCTTTTCGTCCGAAAAGCACGAGCAGTGGCGGATAAATGTGTATCTTTCAGGTCGTATGTTTCCTCTGAATCGCATAAATCAATTTTTTCGCGCTAATTACGGGCGACAGCGATTCTTAAATATACGGGTGTACGAGAAATTCAATTATTTATTCATCGAGTCGGCAACATGTCGAGTAATTAGGCCGTATAATTATTATACATATAATAATTATAACCAATTATATTGTGTCACTGCGTGTAACGATGCTTCGGCTGTCTCTTAGCCGGCCGAAAATTAACCCATTAATTACTTTCCACCGTGGAGTATGTCCTATTGACGGTTCGGCGGAAGCGGGTCGGCGCATTGACGCCGAATGGCACAAGTCCTTGTACCTGTTGCTAGTCGGCACTCACTCCATGACGGCTGATTATCACCAGTCATTTCAGACCGCGTCGTAACATCCTCGAAATCGAGGATATCACAAAGTGACATTCCACGACGGAGCGCGATCGCTCTTTCGAAATAGTCGGATGGAGATCGAGTTTTTTAGAAAAACCCGGAACGCCCGGCGACAAAGGCGGGAATACGGAGAGAATATTAAAATCCGCCCGTGGGGACGCGCGCGCGTTAAATCGAAGTCCGTGCACCGCTCCAACGGCCGGATAATTACGTAGCGATGGTAAATCGACTCGCGGCGCAGTGTCTTGCGAGTTATTCGCGAGCCGTGGAATTCGCACGGCGTGAAAGGCCGTCTTTTAGCGCGGATCGCCGAAAGTGATAATAAACCCGAGTCCGGATAAAGCCAACGCGAAAAGAGATTCCCAAGTTTAACCCTTAACCGACTTCAGTAACGTCCGAGGGCGATCGACGGCGGCGGCGTCGACGGCGGTTGTGTGGCTTGCGCAAGAAAAGGGGATTTAACGGGCCCGACACGGAAGAGAAATAGGGGCTGTACGAAAATCGCGGTCATAAAAAGAGCTGAACGGCCGACATTTTGCGGCGAACAAAAAAAGAAGCGACGAGAATCTCGATAATCGCTCTGGCACGGAGGAGGAGGAGGACAACGACGAGGCGTCTCATCCCCAGGGTATTTCCGAAGGAAATTACTTTTCCGTCCGAGCCCGGTGGTCGCGCGTCCGCGCGCTCGCCGATTTCGATACGGTTTCGAGAACTGTCGTCGTCGTCGATTGCGGAGCGGTTGCGAACCACGCGTAAAATTATTTTGCGCACCGCATTGACCCGGTCGCACCAAGTAACCGCGGCACGCGTAACTTCCCCAGCAATTGTACCGCGCGGTTTTGCGCGAGCCAGTCGTGCGGAGCGAGAAGAATGCAGCACGACGTTGGGCGCGCGCTCGTCGGAAGTACTGTTCATCATTTCAAGCTGGATGTTTCCGCTGATGGGATTTTCGATATTTCCACTGCCGCGGATATACCGGGAAATTATCTCCCTCTCTCTCTCTCTCTCTCTTTCTCTCTCTCATGTAATATTCCCTCGTATCTGCATTTCTTATGAAAATGAGTTCGCGGAATCCGCTCTTGTTAAAAAGGATACGCCGTTAAGAAGAGAACAGAGGAGAACGGAGGAGATCAGTGCGAGATTCGCGAAAACGGAACTTTCTATCGTAAAAAACATAGCGTGTAATCTCGGGCGTTTTCTCATTCCTTCCCTCCTTCCTTAAATGTTCCATTTTCGCAAACGTAAGCTACCTTCTCAATACCATTGGTAATTATACTATGTTACAGCGGAGAGACTATTGTTTAAATATTCAATTTATCGAAAGTTGCGTGACAGAAATAAAAAATTTACTAAGTTCTTTTGGGACGTATTTTATAATTTTTTATTAGGGGTACCTATAAGTAATATCGATTTTTTCAAATTGAAAACAGATTGAATAAATATCCATCATGAGGTTTTGAATCCCAATGAAACCATAACTACTAAATATCATTGTACACAGCTTGATAGACTGAGCATCGCTTTGCTTGATTAATCTGTACTAAATGTGAAATAAAAAAAAATTTTGTAAAAGTATCAAAAAACAACATTACTTATGGGTACCCCTAACATTTAAGTTACAAACGTCGAGAAGTAATTTACAGCGTGAAACATTTTCTAAGATCTTTTTTACATCGCTGAATTTAATGGCATTTCCGCGGAATCGTGTGGTATAAGATCGGCCAGGGGAACGGCAAATTTGAAAAGTCCACGGTACGTCACGTTTACGCTAATAGCGAGCCGTTATCGTTATGCGGTTATCACGACCGACGTAACTGTTACTGTTACCGCTGTGATTAGCGCGGTGAACGTCGGTTTTTTGCCGACGGCACATCAGCGGGAATCTACGCGCCGCTGCTCGAGTAGGCCGAAGGCAACAGTTTCCCGAAGACGACGCTCGCGAGCGTCCCCCTTTCGACCGATCGATCTCTCTTCGTATTCTCCCGCGAACGACTGCGAAGCGCCAGCCGTTGCTTAATCGCGCCGTAATCCTCTAAACTGGCAAATCGAAGGAAAGAACTTTATTAAGTAGTAAGCGCTGAATTCCCTCGTCGCGTAGCTGCGCTCGCGACCGATACATCGGAGCAATTCGTTACCCGGATTTCAGACGACGAGCAATCTTCTCTCTCCGCGGGAAGTTAATTTGTTTCTCCTTTCGCGCAATTGATTCTTCGGCAACTTTAATAACGCTTTTAATTAACGCTACCCCGGCTGGCAGCGCTTTCCGGCATTGTTTGAAATTCCATGTGGCTACGTAAAGCGCATTCTCCGCGATTCACCGGCGGCCGTGCGCATATCTATATATATAACATACACGTACGTGATAGCGTTATTCGTTCGGGCACCACTCCTTCTCCTCTCAATGGCGCATAATTCCGATATCTGGCGAGATAACGGCCAAAGTTTCGAAACGGGTAATTACAGATATATATCTCGCGGTACGCGGGGCGTGTGTGCTCGCACAGAGTGAGTTAAATGAAAACGAAGCCAATCTCAGCGCCATCGGTGCCTCCTAGCCGGGCAACCGTTTGCTCGGCAGAGACCGTGAATGCGCTTCTGTTTTTGTGAACGCCACTGTATCCCGGCGTTTATGTACCTTCCACGCTCTGACGATTCCATCCGTTATAGCCGGTCGCGTCGTATTAGCGACCGTTAGGCCTCGAATACGATCCGAAAAGGAGACGTTACGACGGACACCCCGCAGTGGTAATTAGTCTCTGCGCCTAAGTGCGCGAACACATCGATAGCGCGCGATCTCCTGCCTCTTTCTCCTCTCTATATCTCCACGCTCTAAATAAGGCGGCGAAAGGCAGTCCGCAGGTGTTTAATTAGACTGGAATCTCGAGCCCTCGTGGCTTTATAGAGCGACGCCGCGTAATAGAGCTTCACTCACATTATTACGAGAATAACTTGATAAGGCCGTATTAAGACGATCTGATATAGTTCCATCCGTGCGGGAATCTGTACGAAGATAACTCGGTTGGCACGTGGGTAGTCCAATTATGTTCCCGCTGAAATATGTTAATTAAAGGAGTAACCGAATTTATATATAGATGAGTGGCAATCAAAATCAGCCATCGGAATGAAGATATGTGAAGGGAGCGAGCGAGTAGAGATTACGATAAAATAG